GTTACAGAGAAGGAAGAGGGGGAGAGGATGCACACGGCCCCATGAGATGTTTATTTTGCAGCTTATGAATAATCAGCCTGAAGACAGGATGAAGGCCAAGGTCAGTGCCATTTCCTGTCCTCAAGGAACTAAACACTAGCAAGTAAGAATGTGAGTGGTTATAAATGTATGTGTGCAGACACACAGACACACAGACACACACATGCACAGCAGGTATAGGGTCTCTAAATGAGAAGAAACCTAAGACCTAGGTAGCCCACCTATTCAAAAAACTCATAAAGGCCAAAACCCAAAGCAACCTTTGACCTGCATGTCATCGCTCTTCACACCTGCCCCAGCTTCATGGATCTTCATTCCCCCAAACAGTGTCTACTTCTGACAAGCATGTGAACCTGGGCATCCTACAAGCGTTTCCTAGCTTCTCCCATGTGTAGAGTCTAAATGGCACAGCAGAGTCGCACAGTGGTCAAGAGATGCTGAACCTCCACAACCACCTGGACTTGAAGACCTTGGGCAAGCTCCACTCTCCATGCCTCAGTTTTTCTCACATGTAAAGTGGGAGAAAGATGACCATTGCTTCCTCTTGGGCTAGTGCTTTAAGTGAGTAGATCAGCGTACAGGGAGTAGACCGGCACCTGAGGGTAGATCACCCTGTGAGAACAGGCCACAGTAAACCTCAGGGCCTCTCCTCATTCTTCTCTACTGACCCAAATACACCACCTTTAACAGAGACGATCCCTAACCCTAACCATCCATCAGTTTATGGCTAAGCTCAGTTCCAGCATGCATATTCATTGAGGGCCCACCACGGCTTCCTGCATCCAGGACCATGAGGACCAATGAGACCCAGCCTGCCCCACAGACCCCAGCCTGCATGGGGCCATGGACAGGCATTCCAAGAAAGATTGTCACTGTTCATTTAGCAAGAAAGCATGAGTTGGCTTCACTCCTTAAGTAGTTTAAGGAGGTTCTCTCTTGAGACCCTGTCTCCTTTGCTCACCCTGCTAGTCCACAGCTAACACTCAGTTCTATGAACTGTTTCAACAAAACTGCTTTGATGCAGTCAACTTGAGGGGATGTGCCCATCTGGGACTTCATCTTGTCCTTCTCATCTACTTCTCCACAGAGAACACCTCTTCTCGACAAAATATTAACTCTTGTAGTTGGCCAGAACATTTAAGCATTTCCAGGAGAAAGATTCCCAAGGCCTGGAGAGCTGAGAATGGGTCTGGCCAGACTTGGAACTCAATAGTTACTGCTGAGTCCTTTCATAGACTCATGGCACATACGGAAGAGTTGCACATAACTACAGGTTGGTGTGTTAGAAATAGCAAGAGACAGAACTAAGGTCTTTTCATGTACTAGGTATTAGAGAAAACACTGTTTCCCTCCATCCTCCTGGAAGCCCTTTAGAAAGGCATCCTGGTTACCAGGTTACCATTGAGGAAATTACCATGCAAGGAATTCCCAATCCTGAAAGCAGGAGGCACTGAAAACTAGCCATCTGATCCTCCACTGTGCCGGAAGGGATGGCTTGACCCCTGTATCTCCAGATCCACTCAAAGAAAAGTGCCCAGAGGGCAAAAGGAAGAGCGTGCCCCTTCCTAAGGCAGCTCACCCACACCGCTCAACTCACAAATTCAGCCTCATCAGGATGGCATCACCTTGAAGAAACTCCTGACTTGAGCAGAGATGATGAGGCAGTCCAGGAAGAAGAAGGAAGGATGTTAAAAAATTCACCCTGTGCTGACGATGGACAGAGGTGCTGGGATCCATGGTATCTTTAAACCTTCTGCTTACTAATTTCTGTTTCTATTCTATTATTGTAAAGTTCAAACAAATGGGGATGACAGGCATTCAAAAAAATGGGAATTGAGTCTGGGTTCCTGTTGAGCAAAAAAGGAAAAGGGTTGGGCTGAGCTATAGCTCAGTGGACGCTGTGGTAGAGTGCTCACTTAACACAGACAAGGCCCTTGGTTCAATGCCCAGCATCACTTAGGGGTGGGAGGGACATGAAAAGAGCCACTGGTGCGGATGCTCTCTGAAGCTAACTTCACCAAAGACAGACAGGCAAGCAATTCTGGTTCTCGCCAAGCTCCCCTGTTCTCAACTTGGGCAGCAAGAAACTCCCCCTACACCTCATTCGTGGACACACTGAGACGGGGCGTCTTGCTAAATCTAAAATTAAGAATGTGCTCAATGGCTGGCTTAAAAATAGGCTGGGGTCCCCCTGCAAAAAGGGAAAGATCCTAAGATGTGAGGAGCAACCAGAACAGAACAATATGAATCGTTCTGGAGGCCAGAGTCTCGGTGGGAAGTTGTCTCTCATTCAGCCCCACCTCCAAACGTCTCCATTAGTTCACTGGTAACAAATCTGGGGTCAGTTTCCCTAGCACAGAGCAGCAGCTGCAGTTTCCTCAGTGGGTTGAAGAGCAAGTAACAGCAGCAAAAATAAGAACCTGTGACGCTGAGAACAAGAAGTGGGAGAAGGGAAACCCAGGAAGAAAGCCGAAGTCACTGGTGGGTACCGAGGTCACTGGTACCACCTCACAGGTGGTACCGAGAGGAAGCCACCCCCTGCAGTGAGTCCTGTGACTGTCCATCTATGAAACCGCAGGAGCTGCTGAGCAGTGTCATCTGAGTCTCTTTTATTGGCTTCCCAATTAATTATGACACAACATGGCCGGGGTCACCTACAACCAACAGGTGGACAGGACTTCTGGAATGCTGCTGTAGGTTTCACCCACCGAGCTATCCCCGGCAAAGAAGCCAGGTCCAGCAGCAGTACCACAGACAGAGCCGGGAGACAGAAGAAAAGCTGCTGATTCTAGCCCGGAATTGCCATGGAAAAAGCATCAAGTTCCCCAAAGATAAGACGCTGCCAGTTACATCTTCCAGATAAGAAATGCACTGCTTTGTTATACGGAATTTTATTTTCATGAGGATCTCATTAAACGTCCTGTTGGGGCATAAACGGAAGCTTGGTTGATGTGTTAGAGACAGATTTTTAGATAGCCAAAGGTGAAATGAAAAACCTTCAAATTCAGAAAGCAACACAATACATTCCAGGGGAAAGGCTCATGAGTAAATTCAGTCAACAAATATTTATTCGGTACCTGGGCCCTAACGCTGAGATGTCCCTGTGACAGACCTCCCTTTACTCAGCTGAGAAGCAGAAAGAGGCAATTAGAGTCTTCCTGAACAACAAGCAGTTAATCGCACTCTGCTTCAGAGTAACTGTGGTGCGGGGCTCCCTCACAGCAACCCCCCACCCCCCACTCCCGTGCTCCCGAAACCTCACTCCCACAAGGCCTCTCAGGTTTTTCGGATCACTGATCAACACCCTCAGACAGCTTTCTTAACATGTCTAGCCCAGACCAGAACTGTTAAGCAGACCAACAACTCCCCCACACATCTCCTCCCAGGCCAGATCTGTGACCTTCAGTGTGCTGATTGTGTCAAGGTTACACTGCCCACTAACCATGCACCCTTCACCATTGGGACTCCACTCCTGCCTGGGTCCTTGATGCCAACGTCAAACCTCCTAGCCCTGCTTGGACCACCGCAAATCTGACTAATGGCACATTCAACAGCTAGTTAGATTTTTGCCTCTCCTGCCATCCTCTGGGCTGTTTTGGGTGGTAGAGTGGATCAGCAAGAAAGGCACACCTAATAATGCCAACATCCACCTGGATTCTTAAACACAGCCTGCAGGCAGGGTAATAAAGAAAGGCCGCCCTGGCACCACTCACTGCAAAAGCCCCTGTCAAAAAAAACAACAACAGCCCATACTCTCCCAGCTTCTATCAAATGCTTAATTCCCTGTAAAAATCCAGTATCTTTTCAAGAACCTCAAAATTGTACCTGTGGGGAGACACTGTCCAGGAACTAATACAATATCCCACCTAATCAATACCTAAGCTACAAACACAACACATGGGCAATATATGTACCAGTGAGAATTTTTTAAAAATTTAAAATGTTCCTCTCCTAAGTGGGCAGCAACTAGTTACCCAACATTGCCCCCAAGAGCCTCGATGTGAGAGAGCCAAGGAATCTGGAGAACGACACAGCTGGTCTGAGACCTTCCTAGGGGAACTCGCTTCCCCGAAAACAGAATGTCATCCAGCTCCCCCATCCCAAATTCTAGGAGTCCAGAGAATAGGAGCCTCCGAGCGAGCCCTGACTGCCACATCTTCTAAATGCTTCCTATAAGACTAGAGAATGATTCCCAGCTCGAGAGGTTTACAAAAATATTTCTATTTCTAATTCCAGTCACCTGGTTTGTTTAGGGCTTTTTTTTTCCTTTTGCCCTCCTGTGAAACCCAGGTTCTGTGAATCAGTGGCCGCTGCACCGCACTCTCTCCTGGGGGTCACAGGAAGGAACGGGGCTTCCTCTGGCCACCAGTGCGCTCTCCCTACTCAGAACGGCTCGGCTGGCAGACCCCTGATCTTGCAGCATGCTTGGCCAGGAGCCCAGCATCATCTCTCTGCTAGAGCTCTGTTTCAGCCACTTGAAGCTCGCTTACACCCATCGGGAAACCTTTAGCCTTGTGAGATACCGTGTTTAGGATCCTTGCGGTACAGCCAGGGTACCAGCCGCCCACACCCCTTGAGATGGATGCACAGACAGACGGACAGCTCAGCTTAACTCGTTCACGGTTCCCCTTTGACCAGGGATCTGCACTGCTAGAAACCTCCCACTCTCTCCTCCCTCTTAAATGAGACCAAAGATGGAAAAAACTACCCCAAAGTACCCAGTTGACCATTAGGATGCCACAGACAGAAACAGGTACCTAGCATGCCAAGCAGAACAGAACCTTAACAGTCTAGCCCAGTAAGCCCCAAACAGGTAGACTGCTTTCCAAAGGCAGGCAGCTCAGGGGCTTCCCTCCGCCTCCGCCGCACTCCCCACACACCTCCACCACCACCACCACCACCTTTGACTCTGTGTGCCAGGCATCCATGCAAGTCCCCCGGAAAGTCACATTGTCACTTACTCAGATCTACCAAGATGCCCTAGTGCCTTGCTGTATGAGAAGCCCACAAACGGCAGTTCTTCGCCTGAGAAACCCGAGGGGCTCAGCTGGCACGGAGAGGATGAAACCCACGAATTCTTCTCTGGTTCATCAAAATTGGAGGTGTCATCGTCAGACTTGAGGGTGGGAACGAAGGGGGGAGGAGCTGGTTAAAAGAAAAACAAGAAAGGGGGGAGAGAAAAATTCAGACGGATTCCACACTGTTGCGGAGAAGGAAAAAAAAAGCGCCTCACTCCTTCAGCGTTGGAGACAGCACTGCAGCGCCTGCTGCTTTCAACCCGGCTCCTGGCGCAGGCAGACCCAGCCTCGGCTCCTACAGCAACAAGAGATTAACCCCTTCGCTGCCAACATGGCCACCAACCCGCAGACAGCTTGCCGCCCTGGGCAGGGGCTAAAGTGAAAGATGAACTCAAACAGGTCACTTGGTTCCAACAGAAGCGCCTGGGCAGCTCACCGGAGCAGGCAGCTCCTACCTGATCATTTCCAGAAGGCTCCCACCCCATGTCAGCTGGCTAATGTCAGGATGCCAGATGACCTAAGCCCACTGAGCCCCTCTTCCAGACAGGTCTAAATGATTAATAGTGAGTGATATTCGCTGCTGTCAGATGGGAGATGTGTCTCATGACTTAGCCAGAATGAGACGAAAGAACAGGCCAGGGGCATGGGAGGCTGTGGAACTGCCGTTGGGTTACCACTGCAGTCTGGTTCATTCATAGCCAGCTGAGTCTACTAAGGAGATCTTATTAACCACTTTTTTTTTTAAGTTCATCATCTCTCCTCCCCAGCACAATCCTGCCCATCAAATTCGCCGCAGTTCAAACAGCATAACCAAAAACAGCCAAATAAAGTTGCAGTGATTTACAGCTCCCAGCACCGAATGGGGGGTGGGGGTGGGGGGACATAGGGACCCATGGAGGCACATCTGCAGCAAGGCTCCTACCTCCTTATGGCATGACTCCCGGCTTGGGGAGGGGGGTCACATCGTCTCTGCTACCTGCAGACCTACTAGGCTCTCTCACTCAGGAGTGTGAGCAGCTGTCCATCAGTCACCAGGACGCTGCCCATCTTCGGGGGCTCCCGGGGGCATTTCCAGCCAGAAGTGTTACCATGGTTGCAGGCTAGGGCGTCCGCAGTGGACCAGGCAGGGGGAAGTTGGCAAGCCGGCATCACATCCCCCGCAGTGCAGGCTGCATGCTCCCCACTCCTTAGTGCGCGCTCTGGCTGTAACCCCACCTGGCCGCCTGCGTGGCAGGGGCCAATGCTGATCTGAGTGACAGAGCAGCATGAGTCACTGCCCGCCAGGGCTCGCTAGAGCTCCCCCTAGGACAGTTGTCACAGCCCTTCACGGTCCAGACTTCTTTTTTTAACCTCTTATTTTCCGGACAGTGTTCCATGCTGGGGAAATGAGTAGCAAGCATGTCTTCAGCCTACAGACTCTAAAGAATCCGGCTGTTTCCTAAGCTTCCCCAAGGACAATAGCCAAAGCGGGGCAGGGAAGTAACCCGGGTGAGGGAGGGATGCGGAGGAGAGAGAGGGGCGGGAGCTTCTGGGCGGATGCTTCTGGGAGATGCAAAAGAACAGTCTCAGAGCTTCAAGTGCACCGAGGTGAGGTGGGGAAGAGAAGATAAAAAATGTAAAATGTGCACTAGCAGAAAATTATCTAACACCTCCAAGCTCTCTTGGGAGCATCTCAGCCTTCCCTGCTGGAGTCAAAAGCTCCAGGCTTAATGCTTTAGACGTTAGCTTATGGGAAGGGAACTTAGCCTGAAGCATCAGCTCACATCCCGTGTGCAAGTGGGTGCAAACCCAATCTGACCGCAATCACCAAGGCCTGCTTTGAAAGTAAAAGCTTAAAATTAAAATACTGGCAGTTACAATGTATGAGGGTCAAAAGGAAGTGTTTTCCATCCCAAGATAAAGACGAGAAAATACTGACGGAGCTGCATTGGTGACGCTGATGCAGAGGCAAGGTGGTTGCAATCTGAACTGGGTCTCACTTCCACCCACTCGAGCTGTGTGACCCTGGGGACATCAGCCAACCTCTATAAGCAAGGTCATTTCCTGTTTACAAAGAGTGTCCCTAAGCAGTGAAGGCTGGCTTCAAACTTGTGACCCTCTTGTCTCTGCCTCCCGGGCATTGGAATTACAGGTGTACCCCACTGCACCCAGCTGTTGGGTGAATCTACTCCAAGTGCTCAGAACAGCCTTTCACATACAGCAAACACACATGAAGGTGACCTGTGGTCGTTGCTATCACTGCGGTGTTCGGTGCGTGCTTATGGCAGATCTGACAGCCACTGGAGTCTAGTGAGACACAGCTGCATTTGCACTGAATAGTCTCTGCTATGCAAAGAAACCACAGACACACCAAGGCGAATGTTTGTGTTAATTCTATCATAGCATTTAATTCCTCACAAAAGTTAAATTCCCTTCCACTATATACTAATTTATCTGTAGGAGACTAAAATAGAATTCCATTTCTGCGTGAGGAGGATGATTAATAGAGGGGCAGGAGCCACCCTCAGTGAAATAATTATGATTTTTGAATTTCTGTACTATAAAGTAAGGTTCATCTGTAAAACTCTGCCATGCTCAAAGCATTAATGTGGTCAAGGTTAGAAAAAGGGCTAAGGCTGATGGTACAGGCCTGTCATCTAATCACTCAGAGGGCTGAGGCAGGAGGATCACCGGAGGAGGGCCTGCCTGGGCTGCTGATGAGCTTAAGGCCGGGGAATTTAGTGAGACCCCATCTCAGGATACCAAGTAAAAGGAGAGTGGACATGGGTGCTGTGGGGAGACCAGGGGGATGAGCCATCTGGTCAAGTGCCTGCATTGCAAACATGAGGGCCTGAGTTCAATCCCCACATGTGAAGAATAAATAAGGCCAAACAGGATGGCACACACTTATCACCAGGGCTGGGTGTGGGGACCTGAGGAGATCTGGCGCTCCTTGGCCAGTGAGAGGTCATATCTCAAGAAGAAAAAGGAGAGGCTAAAAAGATGGTTAGGAGCATTCTCCTAGGACTGGGGTTCAGTTCCCAGCATGCATATGGCAGCTCATAACCACCTTTACCTCCAGCTCCAGATGAAATGATGCCCTCTTCTGGCCTCCACCAGCATCAGGCACAGGAATGGCACAGGCATGTGCAGGCGGAGTTATATACAGAAAAAATTCTTTTCACTTTTCAAAGGTTCATGGTGCCTAAGGAACGATACCTGAGAGTGTCCACTGGCTCCACATGCAAAATCACACATGCGCATACACACAGGCACACACAAACACGATAAAATATTTTCAAAAGTGAATAAAGTTTAGAACTCACTGAATATGTTAAATTTAGACTTAATGAACTGTCTTCTTCACACAATGTAGAATCACCTGGGTCAAGAGTCTCATTGAGAGATTATCTCTATCAGGTTGGCATGAGGGACTGTTGTGATTCCGCTCACTGATGACTGACAGGCCCCAGACCCCGGGTCTGAGTCCTGGATCGTATGAGAGAACAGAAAGTGAGCTGAGCATCGGCACACACGCGTGCATTTTCTCCGCTCTTGATGGTGCACAGGACGTGACTGTCTGCTCCAAGCTCATGCCTTGACTTCCCTGCAGCGGTGGACTGCAGGGTGGGAGTGTGAGCAGAGTAAAACAGTCCTCCCTTAGTGCTCATCACAGCCACTGAGAGGAAACTAGATCAGCAAGGTAACCATAGGTGAGAAAAAGCTTAATGAGACCCAAGGAGTGTGCTCTGTAAATGCAGGGTCAGCAAGGTCAGCTGGCTAAAAATGCAGAGTCCCGGCCCCAGCCCCACCGCCATCCCAACAGGATTCCTAGGTAACTCACAGGCACCCAGCTCAGTGTTCCTAGAGAATGACCCCCACGGTGCCAACAAGATGGAAATTGTCAGAGCTCTGAGACACACACGGAATGAAAAGGCTAAACACCTGGATACATCTTAAAACAACCCTGCAGGGCCTGGACATGTCCATACAGTGAGATGAGGAGACAACCTGGTGGTCCTTCTGAGGCGGGGACCTATGTCCAGCGTCAGCACCACTGCCCAGCACCCAGGAAAAAGCCTGAGGACTCTCAGTGGGAGCAGAGGTGGAACAGCAGTGTGGATGAAACCCAGAGAGCAGCATGTGGAAGGGGAGAGGCTGGCAGCCCTCAGCCTCCCTGAGCATCACTCAGCCGGGAGAGCATGCTCCCAGTGATCACCTAGCCTCAGCCTTTCTCTCCCTTCTTGCCCTCTTAGAGACAAGCCAAAGGAGCAGTGTAGCACCTCAGTACTCTCCTGCATTTCCCCCTCATGAACTACTGTGCTCCTCATACCTATAGAAACAAACAACAACAACAACAAAAAAAAAAAGACAGGAAGGGAAGGATAACTCTTAGACTTCTTATGC